CATGCAATTTTGCAGTTAAACAAAACAGCCTTGCAACATCCAAAGCCTTGAGGAACAGGATGGATCTTGTCCGCCTCTTGAGCCCTGCCACTGTGGAGCCTTTTAACTACCTCAGTGACTTCAGTCTGGGTTATGTGCAAGCCCACCCCAAAATCCCCAGACTGAGGTGTTTACTTCCTCGATGGAAGGCATGCTGGCCAAACTCCTCCCACACCCAAGCCTTTGCCTTAGCAATAGCAAGTGCTGCATCTTTCTTGGTCAGCTGATATCCCTCAGCTGGCTCTGGAGTTCTACCAGCTAACAAGGGCCAATAACATTACTTCTTCACCTCTCTCACTTGGAATGTCCACCACCTGGTTTGAGCATGGCTGCTATGAGATGCACCAACAACTTTGCAGCCACAGCTCAAGGCAACTGCCTTGATAGGTGTGGGACATGGCTCTCTCAGAATCAGTTGTGTAGTTTATGCAATATGTGGGTATACGGAGTATACCCACTAGAAAAGCTTAAGAATTTCAGTATACCCACTTAAAAGTGCCCAATGACAAACAACATAACATTAGGCACATGTCAATGATACATTAAACGGTAGCTAAACACTTCCGTAACAATCTATTGTGTGCAGTGCTTGTTTATTACATTACTTTTATTTATTATTTATCCAGCAAATTATTGTATAATTAATACTTCTGTACTTACTACTTGAACATATTTTGCTTTGATACTGTTTTATAAATTCTATAACATGTTTGTAATACAAAGCCAACTGTTGTACAAAGTTTGTTGTTTTTAATTTTTCAAATATAAGCGTCAGAGAAATTTGAAAATGTTCAATATGCTTAAAAATCTAAATAAATTGACGATTACATTGTACTAACCAGGGTACTTTGGTTTCTAAGCACAGTATACCCACTACAAAAACCAGATTCCAAAGAAGTTGGGACACTAAACAAATTGTGAATAAAAACTGAATGCAATGATGTGGAAATGGCAAATGTCAATATTTTATTCGTAATATAACATAGATGACAGATCAAAAGTTTAATCTGAGTAAATGTAACATTTTAAAGGAAAAATATGGTGATTCAAAATTTCACAGTGTCAACAAATCCCAAAAAAGTTGGGACAATTAGCAATATGTGGCTGGCTAAAGGAAATTGACCATATAACAAACAGCTGGAAGACCGATTAAAACTAATAAGGTCAATTGACAACATGATTGGTTATAAAAAGAGCTTCTCAGAGTGTCAGTGTCTCTCAGAAGCCAAGATGGTAAGAGGATCACCAATTCCATCATTGTTGCGCAGAAAGATAGTGCAGCAATACCAGAATGGTGTTACCCAGCGTAAAATAGCAAAGACTTTTAAGTTATCATAATCAACCGTGCATAACATCATCAAAAGATTCAGAGAATCTGGAACAATCGCTGTGCGCAAGGGTCAAGGCCGTAAAACTCTACTGGATGCTCGTGATCTCCGGGCCCTTAAACGTCACTGCACCTCAAACAGGAATGCCACTATCAAGGAAATACAGAATGGGCTCATGAATACATCCAGAAAGCATTGTCAGTGAACACAATCCACCATGCCATCTGCCGTTGCCAGCTGAAACTCTACAGTGCAAAGAGGAAGCCATTTCTAAGCAAGCTCCACAAGCTCAGACGTTTGCACTGGGCCAGGGGTC